GTCTCCCTGAAAGTGTCTCCTGCAGTGTTGATGCGATCAGAGAAGACAGACCCAAATACTGTCCCGACCGGCGACGAAGTCATCTACCGCTCGCATGTCCGGGCTCTTTGTATTATTCCACCCCATCTCGGACGCTCCGAGATTTAGTAGGGTTAGGGTTAGTGTTAGTCAGTGGTCATTTCACTTCCTAACACCCCTATAATATTGGACTTTCCTGTAACTCCCCAGGGAATCTCGGAGTCTCTGAGATGAGGTGAATTAAACTTAAGGACTGTTGCGTGCTGATTCATGTGAGTTGTAACCTTGGGGCAGGCCAACAAAGTGGGAATGGTGTTGTGGCGAGTCCACGAGAATATATCAATATGTTGCCCAGTGTTGACTCAAGCCAGGAAATATTTGTCGGTTGAGTCAATATTTTGACAAGTGGAAAGGGACGTGACACAGGATGAACCCGAGAGGCCAGGGTTAGTAGCCGCGTGGGCTAACTAGCATGATTTGTACGAGATAGGCGCTGATGTATGAAAGAATGATGGGATGCGTGCTAGCGTGTTTCTCGTGGGGCCCGAGCTCCCCACAAGGAACAGGCAAGGGTGTATTGGGGTTGAGTAGACCAGAGAGAGAGAGAGAGAGAGAGAGAGAGAGAGAGAGAGAGAGAGAGAGTCCCACAGTACGAGTTAGACAGTGAGGTCTGAGCGAAAAGTCTCGGTCGCGATGCAGTCGAAGTAAAAGAGTCCAGGTAGCATTGTCAAGCCAAGAGGACTGGACACTCAAGAGTAGCTGTTTTGGGTGACGTCGCAGGCAGGCGTAAGCTCACTAGTGAAACAAGACAGCGGGGATGCCGGCGATAGCTGTGTGCTAGAGGGAAATCGATCTAGGAGTCCTGACGGTCATCGGAGTCCTTCGACGGGCTATTGTGCAGTGTGCACATGCTGGAGAACGAGTGTTGTTGAGCCCGTTTCCAGTCAGCCGATGTATCTGCTCTGCTCAGTGTAGAGCAAAGGTCCAGTTAATAGAAGAGATTTCTGTGCTTCTGTACAGCGAGCCTGGAGTTGTAGCAGTCAGCTCGTATGTAGTGGCAGCGAGTGAAAGCTGTCCGGGAGAGTGACGCTATACTGGAGAAGCGAGCGAAAGGAGGAGCTAGGTTTACATGTTAGCCAGGACAGATGACTACACCACTTCGCTTGAATTGTTGTATGTGTGAGGGTTTGGAAATACCCTCTGTGTCGTGACAATAAACTTATATGCATGGCGGATATTACATCGTTGTAAAAAAGTAAAAAGTAAAGTTCCCTTTTCACGCCTTTCGGCGCATCGGGCATATGGGAAGAGCGCCCCATATTTTTACAGACCATCAGCACTCTGTGGGTAATGTGGTCAGCATTAGCCGGCTGTCTTTACTTTCCCAGAACAGCCCATCCTGGTACCCATTTTAGGCTGGGGTTTCCTGAAAGTTGTATGTGTGGAAGCCAGAACTGCATCCTTGGACACTTGACCGTGTGCTGATTGTTTTTACACTCAGAATGACACACAAGGACCTTAGATTGGTTTAATTAAAATGCAGGGATAATTTCAGGAGACACTGACACACTGTGTGACTGGAGGGAGGGGGTGTTCATAAAATGATCTCGACTCCTACGTCGACAAAGCAATGTCTTGGAAGATAAAGATGGGACGTTGGCAAAATCATCCTTAGGTAGGGTTACCATATTGTGTAAAATTTAAAAAAGGTAGTGACGACTTGTTATGTTTTTAAATCAATATTGTTGTGCTACTAATAGGTACCAGGAATGAGGGGCAGGGACCGACCAACACGAAGATGAGCACAGGATATAAGTGACTGCATGAGTATGAAAGTGCATGAGGTGGGAGAACTGGCGAGAGACCGAGTTTCTTTCAGGCAGACCACGATGAGAGCGACGTTCTGCAAAGGACCTGCTACACGATGACTAATAGTCTGTAAATGATAAATATTGAACATACTGACTGACTCCATAGGAACACAAATTGGTCGGAAAAAATAACAACAACAGTTGGATTGATCTTAGCTATAATGGTGTTAACTATTAAAGAAAGAGTGTTTTTGGTTCCTGAACAATGTCAGGTATTCGAATATGGTTGTTCGACAATTTGTAATGCCATTTCCTAATACCCAACTGCCTCATCCTAATACTGTTAGCAATTTAACCAGTAGAATCGACTGTATTTAGAGATGTAATGTGGAAAACAGTACCCAGAATAAGATACACTAAAGCAGCACAAGTTGCATTTACTCAGACAGTGATTACAAAACTAGGAACGGCAATATTTAAAAAAAAAATGCAGTCACTAAAAACACACTATGTATTTGCCAACGGCGTAAAATGCCTCTGCTACTGCGCTACTTAAAAACTCGTTTGTATAACGTAATTAACTCCAGATATAACGCATTTTCAAAGGAAGGATGGTTTAAAATGGACAGACAGTGTGGCATGCGGGGAAACCAGCTAATAGCACGTCATCACTACAGGGACTGGTTAGTTTTACGTTAGTCTCCCCAGAGAAAGTAGGTCACGTTTCACTAACAACTTTGTTGGGCTGGTCTACTTTCCTGGAGGTTACGGCTGTGTCGCTCTGTCGTATCCAGAAGCCATGAGTTGTCAACCCTTAGGCTCGGTATTATGGATATCGCAACCTTTCGGCCTTGATTCCTTTGTAAATGCTGTAAATTTGGGAGAAAATGTGGTCTTCCTGCCTACCCCCAGGATTGAACCCGGACTACATGGAGTACGTCACCCGATCTCCGCGCAATCTGGTTTAACCAACTACGCTAGAGGGCCGGGCAAAAAAAAAGATTAAGAGGAACCTTTCGAAATATAATTGCATGTGTGTCATAGGCGTTTTACTCTCGGGTAGTCTTCTCCAGCATAAGTCTCCTGTGAGTTGGGGTTCTTCACTGAATAGGGAGAAGCTTTTCATATAATCACTACGCAACACTGCAGATTTTGAGTGATTTCTAAACAAACTCCGCACGTGTATTTATTACTGTATATTATATCTTTCGGGGGCACAGAGTTGATGAGTCAAACAAAGCTAAAAGAAATTTCCCGCTCTTAAAAAAACAGCAGCGTCTTCGCAATTGTAAATTATATAATTATTAGGACATGGGAAATATAAGACCATGTATAAAATTTCGTGATGATCCATACACAAGTTTTCGATATATTTGTTAAAATGTGACGACATGAGTTTCGTAACTTACTATAGCTGGGCTATTCAACTAAATTCACTAAAGGGCAAAAATTGTGACAACGGTTATCGTCACTGACCAGAGGTCCTTGCCTCAATATGGGAAGATCAATAATACAGTACAGCAGGCAGTGAACCTAGGCCAACTTACTAGGTCTCCGCGGGCCAAATTTGGCCCACCGGTCGCCTGTTGGATAGCCATGCACTGTAAAATCTACACCATAAGACATTTGCTGCTGGAGACTGAGCATTAATGGGTATGACTGGTGTACTATGATAATTCTTAAATCAGTGAAAGGGGGACACAGTGTTGTAAATATTTGACATCTTCTTCGAAACTTCTGCCAGGAAACAAAAAAATGTAAGATTCACCTAATATATTTCAGTTTACTAAGCGGAAAATTGATTGATGTTGAAATACCTGAGAACTGCACCATTGGAAATGTGGACTGGAATTATCCCAGAGTAAGAAACTTTTTTATTGTCATTTAAAACATTTTTTTTTTTTTTTTGAAGATGTTTACAGTAGCTGAGTGAAAGATATATATAACATCTGTTGGAAAGCCAAGTGGTCTTCTTCTATAGAAACTGACTGCTGACTGTACATTACCTAGATGCCTCTTTGAGGTCCAAGGTCCAGTTTATCAGCAAGGTAATGATCGCCGTTGTAGTTTGTGGCTCGGCGTCCCAATTGGTTTCCTCCCCTTATGGGTGTGATAAGGATTAAGGATGAGGAGTATTTGCCTAAAAAACCACAACAGCCAAAAAAATTCTAGAGTTAGTTCTGCAACTTTCTGTAAAGGATTTTACAACTAACTAACTTACTGTTACCTGGCTGCAAAATTCAGCGGTAGGTTCTGGTTGCTCAACCACTTCTGAACTTTGGTCTTGTGCCAGAACTTGAGTTTTGCGTGCACGGTAATTTTACAGATCTGGCCTATTTGCATGCAGACTTTTGTTTTATCACATCTCAGACAGATGCACTTCTACTTCGAAAGAAAGAAACCCTAATTTGCTGCCTTCTCCCTACAACACAGCATTTTTTCCAATTTATTACAAAAATATCACTTTTTCATTGTGTTAGTTTTTGTTAAATTCGGCATTCTGAAGTATCCATTTGTAGAATAGATTACACGACAAATTTATGTCATTTGTAAACAATTTAGCACTGAAAAGTTAATACTAAAAACAGCATCCCATGCACTTTTTTTTAAATAAAAAAAAAGTTTAAAATTCAGTTTTTTTCACAAACTTTATATTTCTGTTTGTTGTGTGTGTAAAATACTAAAATCCCAGCTAACACTAGGACTAGAAGCATTAAATTTGGTGTGGACACTCCTTAAACAATATTATAGAGACTTGGTTGTTTAAATGTAGATTTAAGAAGTTATTATTATTTTTTAATTTCTTAAACAAACTTTTTCTGGTCACTTCTACCGCCTTTCTCAGACGCCTCATTTCCATGGTTTCAATTTTTTAAATAATGTTTTGTTGTGAGTGACCACATTTGGCACGTAGTATAAATCGGGAATGAATATGTTTTTTATGAGATGTCTGTGCTGATTGGGATTGCCTAATGCTGTTAGGGTGGGGAGGGGGAGGTTTGCTTTCCCAATACTTGACCGGCTTTTCTGCATCGGATGTAAGTTTCGTCGTCCAATTTACCATCTTCGGTGTATGTTTTTGTTTCCAAGATATTTAAACTCAGATGCCTGTTTAATACATGTATGATCCAATTCTATGTTTAAATGCAAAATTACACAATTCTATGACAGGGGGTAATGAGCTTACACCTGACCCGTGCCGACCGCCCATATCAGTTGTGTCTGCAGGGCACATGGTCAACAGATCTTGGTGGAGTCTCCAAGGTGGTTAAAGGGGTAGAGACTGTGCTCCCATTACCTACGCGAGGTAAGGTACATCCTCTCGATAATACCTAACAAATAGCCATCAACCATTGTTCATCATTAATCAACAGGTCTTTTACGGAACATCGCCTTGGTCACGACACGCCTGAAAACATCTCTTTATCCAGTCAGTTCCCCAGCCCTATGTGCTTTCATAGCCAATTTATCTTCAATGTCTCCCATCCACGTTCAAGGAGGTCTGCCTCTGCCTCGTTTTCCCGAAACCGTAAACTCCATCATCGCTCTTTTCAGGCCACCGTGATGTTAAACATGGTAACAATACCTTAGCTTTCGAGACAAGATACTGTTTATGAGCCAATTTTCCTCGCTTTTCAGATTATGGAGGATGTCGCTTAACGACTGTTAGTTATTACCAAATATCACCCACCTGTGATGTTGACTACATCACCAACCTGTGATGCTGAACACATCACCCACCTGTGATGCTGACCACATCACCCACCTGTGATACTGACCACATCACCCACCTGTGATGCTGACCATATAACCCACCTCTGATGCTGACCATATCACCCACCTGTGATGCTGACCATATCACCCACCTGTGATACTGACCACATCACCCACCTGTGATGCTGAACACATCACTCACCTGTGATGCTGAACACATCACCCACCTGTGATGCTGAACACATCCCCCACCAAGTGCCGATTGATCTTTAAAATATTGGTCTAGCCCTATATGCCCAATGCGACTGAAGACGTGGAAAAGGGTCCTTTACTGCCTGTATTGAGCACTTGGTGGTAAAGTATTTGGGGTGGGGGTGGGGGGGGGGGGTAGCATGACGATTGAGGATCACATGGCCAGTGCATGCAGTAACAACTAACCACTAATGGTACAGGTTGGGGACTTTTTTAATTATTGACAAAAGAAAAAAAAAACGTATAAAGTTTGATTGATTGCTGTTTTGAGCCGGTTGTTTTGACGTTTCATATCGTCATCCCGTCGAAAGGTTAGATGGACGTAGACTTTTCGTCTGTGGTGATTGGTTTAGGAGGCTGGCAGTGGGGCGTATATAACTTTTACCAGGGACGAAGCATTCAAATTCTTCACACATCAGCCAGTGGCAGTGCACTGCGATTTCTGACAGCCGCTGCGATTCGTTACTTCTGCTCTGAACTTTGTAAACAAAAAGATATGGTTCTCACACAACGGCTGACCTAGTGAAACATGCACTTGTGTTTAGTTGTTGTTGAGTTTGTACTTCAGTTATAAAGGATTCACTTATTTCCTTTATTTATGTAATTGTTACTGTGGTATGCACCTGACGAGATAAAGAGAAAGATGTTAGGCAATATAAATATATTTTTTGCATCTTGTTCAGATTTACAACGGGGAAAAATTGCTTTGAAATGATGAATTGTCATATACTTTGCATTTTTACTGTCTTTTTCATAGTTGGTGTCTGTGGCTTAGGTGTAGTCAAGGCACTTTGTAAATCCTAATTGCCGGCTTCGATTGCACCTGTGGTTGATCTGACAGTAGACCGCCTTGTGTTGGTTTCGACAATGGATTGAACGACGACCGTTTAACGGGCAATGTCAAACTACTGAACGTAAACATTACACTTTTTTTGTCCACGGCAGATTCCCTATCATGTACCGAGGATGTTGATGGTAAAGCCCGGCTGTTGGTTAGCGCTACTAGCTACCTACTCTACATGACCGAGTTCGCCTTTAGAGTCGTTAAGCTAGGATCTCCTTGAGGGCAATCATCGTTGGCTAGCACCCTCACAGCAAAACCGTCACTTGTATTTGTGTTTCATGTTCTTCCTCTTTGCTACATACATGACTGTCTATGCAACAATACATTAATTAGTTTATGTTGTTTTTTTTAGCTTTTGTCTTGAGGGTAAATACAATCCTAGGTGCTTTCTTAATATCATACCCTAAACAAGGGAAATCCACAGGTCACCGGACAGTCTCATATTTCAGGGGGTGGTAGCTAGGCTGCATACAGTCGTGGGACCCAGGCTGCACTCTCTCGTGGGACTAGGTGAGTTCGGGCTTGGGCCAGTGATAGTTGTTTTGGGATCGTTAAAAGGACCAGTTTGCCGGGAAACCCAGTCTTACAACCCTCCCAAATGCTGGACTGTCATGTGACGTCATCTGAGGTAGGATGTTACGAAATAACTCAGTCCTGTTTTAAAAGTAAATTTAAGTAAAGTAAAGGACCCTTTTCCGCGGCTTTAGGCGTATTGTGCATAAATGGCTAGACCTTTATTTTATAGACCAATCGGCACAGGGTGGGGAATATGGATATCATCTCGCTGGCCGCCCTTACTTCCCAGGACTGTATCTTGTATCCACTCAGGGCTGGGTCTACCCAAGAGCGTTTTAAAAGCCTGAGCTATAAAGTGTATAAGGAGAAGCATTATCACAAAGACTAGACGCTTATCTGCTAAATGATGGGTATACATGGCTATTCTAAATGTTGGATACACTTTCAGACATTTATATGTCCTTGAATATACATTACTTAATAATAATATCATATAAACCTAACAATAAATGCTATAGATGTTTAATACGGCCGCCTTCTGCGGCTCGACAAACATCGTATTCAGCCTCTCACAATGTTAGTGCAGCAAAAACACGCCCCGAGCAGGAAAAAAAAAACACATTCCACATTAAATCCACAACTTACAGTGTCGCACTAAGCACTTGATTCAGTAGTTGAGTGATAGAAATTTTCTACTCTGACCCCAAAGTGGAAAATTTGGAATGTTAAAACCGAACTCGGGACAAATGTCTTTTCAAAACGCCAACAGTCAGTCGGCTATGGGTCATTTTGGCCGATGGGAACTCGAATATGACATGGTCATCTTCTTCTTCTTCTTCGTTTCTCTACTCCTGGAATGCCTCGCGGCGTCAAGGAAAGAAGAGATCTCCGGAACAGGCCTTCCTGTTCGCTTCGTATAAAGTATATTTCAGTGTCTGACTGTAGTTAATCACCCACCTGTGATACTGACCACATCACCAGAGTTCACAGCCATTGAAAGCAAAGCAGATATTCTGATGTATGGAAGTCACTAATGGACAGTTAACCAATGGGTGAAATATCATGTGGAAGCGACTGCGGTATAGTTGTAGAAACAAATGGTGAGTGGAGTTTAGTTGAGTTGAGTCCAGAATTGACATCACAGCACTCAGTACATTTCCATGAGTGCTCCGTCCTTATCTTCAGCAGCCAGCATAGAGTTCCAATACCAGATCAACTATACATACTGACATCCTCGAGCTTGTGTGTCCACTATAGCTACCGACTGAACGATTCAACACGGGTCGCTTGGACGTGTTCGTAAGAAAAATTAAATACATACACGATAATTTTCCAACTGTTGTTTTCATTACGTTGCATTCTTTTTCCCCTGTCTGTCTGTCTGTCCTGTCTGTCTGTCCTGTCTGTCTGTCCTGTCAGTCCTGTCCTGTCTGTCCTGTCCTGTCCTGTCTGTCCTGTTCTGTCCTGTCCTGTCTGTCTGTTTTGTCTGTCTGTCCTGTCTGTCTGTTTTGTCTGTCTGTCCTGTCCTGTCCTGTCTGTCTGTCCTGTCTGTCTGTCTGTCCTGTCTGTCTGTCCTGTCCTGTCTGTCTGTCCTGTCTGTCTGTCCTGTCTGTCCTGTCTGTCCTGTCCTGTCTGTCCTGTTCTGTCCTGTCTGTCTGTTTTGTCTGTCTGTTTTGTCTGTCTGTCCTGTCCTGTCTGTCTGTCCTGTCTGTCTGACCTGTCTGTCTGTTCTGTCTGTCGTCTGTCCTGTCTGTCTGTCCTATCTGTCTGTCCTGTCTGACCTGTCTGTCTGTCCTATCCGTCTGTCCTATCTGTCTGTCCTATCTGTCCTGTCTGTCTGTCCTGTCTGTCTGTCCTGTCTGTCGGTCTGTCGGTCTGTCTGTCTGTCATGTCTGTATGTCTTTCCTGTCTGTCCTGTCTTCCGTCTGTCTGTCTGTCCTGTCTGTCTGTCTGTCCTGTCTGTCTGTCCGTCCGTCCCTTAGTCCGTCTGTATGTCTGTCTGGCCGTCTGTATGCCTGTCCGCTCGTCCGTCTGTATGTCTGTCTATCTGCTTACCTGTCTGTGTGTCTGTTTGTCTGTCCATCAATCCATCCGTTCGTTCCTCTCTCCATCCATCCGGTCATCCATCCAGCCATTCATCTTTCCGTCCGTCCATGCATCCTTCTCACTGTATGACTGATTATCTGTCTCTCTATCAATCCGCTTGCTATATATATATATATAGGAAACCCGTGATAGATCTGTTCAACGCGACCTATAAGATAGGAACCCCGTGACATATCTGTTCAACGCGACCTATAAGATAGGAACCCCGTGACATATCTGTTCCAACGCGACCTATTAGATAGGAACCCCGTGACATATCTGTTCCAACACGACCTATTAGATAGGAACCCCGTGACATATCTGTTCCAACGCGACCTATAAGATAGGAACCCCGTGACATATCTGTTCCAACACGACCTATTAGATAGGAACCCCGTGACATATCTGTTCCAACACGACCTATTAGATAGGAACCCCGTGACAGATCTGTTCCAACACGACCTATTAGATAGGAACCCCCGTGACAGATCTGTTCCAACACGACCTATTAAGATAGGAACCCCCGTGACATATCTGTTCCAACACGGACCTATTAAGATAGGAACCCCGTGACAGATCTGTTCCAACACGACCTATTAGATAGGAACCCCGTGACATATCTGTTCCAACACGACCTATTAGATAGGAACCCCGTGACATATCTGTTCCACACACGACCTATTAGATAGGAACCCGTGACATATCTGTTCCAAACACGACCTATTAGATAGGAACCCCCGTGACAGATCTGTTCCAACACGACCTATTAGATAGGAACCCCGTGACATATCTGTTCCAACACGACCTATTAGATAGGAACCCCGTGACATATCTGTTCCAACACGACCTATTAGATAGGAACCCCGTGACATATCTGTTCCAACACGACCTATTAGATAGGAACCCCGTGACATATCTGTTCCAACACGACCTATGGGATGGCAATCCAGTGGCATATCTGTTCCAATATATATATATCGAGAGAGAGAGAGAGAGAGAGAGAGAGAGAGAGACGTTTGGTCCGCGAGTGCAATTTATATGGAGATCTCCTCCATTCTACCCCCCCCCCCCGCCCCCACCTCCTCCACACCCCCAGCCCCCACCCCGTCACTGGAATCAGGAAGTTCGTTATTCATTTGTGAGACGCTATCGGTATACAACTTATCGCTCAGCGGAAGATACTTCTGCAAAACAATTCGTTACAGTGCGAAGCAATACTGAACTTTATAGCTGGACAGTAGGTCAAATGGTTCGGCCATGTTACAATACTGGTATCAGACAAGCACGACAGAGAGCAATGTCATACAGATACAGCGGTAACAGAGACCATTTCAGAGATCTCTTCTTACTCTGAGGCCGTGAGGCATTCCAAGAGTAGAGGAACGAAGAATACTATAAGACCGATCGCAGGCCGTGTAAAATATCGTTTGAAATTAACAAATTTAACAATCAAACAACTTGAAAATTAAACCATTTTTACAATGAGAACGCTACCATCTGTTGGAACAGATATGACACGGGATTCCTATCCCATAGGTGCGACCACATATAAGACTTTGATAAACTGCAGCGTGTGGGAACAATAAATTATGAAGGTGAAATAAATCGCTAATTTAAATGAAGACATTACTGGGCATTTAGTTTCTCTTGGAAACAGTATCTAGCGATAATAAGAGACTGGGTGACTTTTAACCATACCAGGACAGCACGATGGGGAATAAACTCCCGGTGACACAGTGTGCCACTATTCTGATGAGAACCCCCAGGGCACAAGTCCCAGAAATCCTGTTCAACCGTTTGGTTAAATTGGGGCCCCTGACGACAGCCAAAATGAGGCTTTTAATTAAGAAAATAAATTGCGGCTCATAGTGAGGGACGGAGTTTCTTCTTAAAGTCCATGCCATCTAGGAGGTCTCCTTGGCGAAAGGGTCAAGCCTTTTGCCTCGCGCTCTGAAGAACATAAGTTTGTTTCACGGCAGCGCACTTTAGTTTCACGAGTGCAAATTTTTACAGAGATCCTCGAGGATTGTCGTCGAAGCTACAGAGTTAGAGCTTTGCGCGGCAGCTCTTGGCAGGCAGCTAGCCATTCTGCGGAGAGAGACCGAGCCATATGCGATAAAATCCGGTGCATGAAGTCGATTCTCTGGACTTAACATTTACCATGCCGGTCCCGGTTCTAAAGAGACAAAATTTATATTTATCTGCGCTTTATCCAAATATTGTTTTAAAAAACCCCCGGTTTAAAATTGTTTTCCAGCCCTTATCCAAAACAAAGCGACCAGTTTTTTGGAAAGGGTTTCCCCAATTACACGGGGGCTAAAAAACCCCTTTTTCACATCCCCATGTCAAAATTTTTATCCCCTTTCCCAGACTGTTTTAAAACAAGACTTTTGAGGAGCCTAGGGTGAAAGTTTGATTCTCCGCCTGTCATAATTTTTATCTCCAAACACAGCCTGAGGGGGGCCCTTTTTAAACGGGGGAATTGATTAAAAACGCTAGACATGGGGGGCCGAAAATTTTTAAAATTTCCACTTCATGTAAGATTAGAGAAACAGGTTTTTTGGCAATTGGGAATGTTTTATTTTGGTAAAGGTCGTACTGTATCCCCTTTTCCTGTGA